CAAATTCTAATTTAAAAATTGCATTGCAGTTTACTAACAAATTTCTGCTAGATTTGGCATCGACCACAACTGTCAGCAAAGCCTGGCTAGGTGCTATTTATGTGAGAGTATAACTTCTGTTGGGGAGTATGAGATGTCTGGCAGAAACGAGGAAATAGAGCTTCTCTGGGAGCTTCTCAGACCGCTGAGTTTTACCTGGGCCTGGGAATGCTTGGTTTCAGTTAGGTGCGCAGATCATATGTTTGTTTTCCACAGGATAGTGATTTGGGGGTGTGTTTGCTGGCCAAGACAGCCTGGGCCCAGAGTTCCTGCACTCAGCAAAGTGCCATTTAGTCATTTTAGTTTTATCAAGTGAGCTTGCACTGGGGTTCTGTTTGAGAGAGAAGGGCCCAATAAGTAAAAATCACTGTGGGCCTATTACAGACTATAATAATAAAACTAACCTAAAGATCAGTATAAAGCCCCAAGACACTAAATCTCTTGGGGTGCTCGAGCCATGGAATATTTACATTAGTTCACAGGACATAGTGTCAAACTCATGTTTAACAGAGATTCAAAATCTTAGGGGAGTTAAAAAAAAAAAAAGTGTGGAACAAAAATCATAAAAAAAAAATAAAAAATACAAATTTACGTGTGTCGTATTTCTGTGAAACAGAATAAAGGCCAGAGAACATTGAAAATGTATGAAATGGGCAAGCCATTCGTCACCAAGGCAACAGTCTTTGTAACTGAGGGGACCCCTTGAGCTTTCATGCCAGTCCTATTCTAGGCACGAAATCCAGCCAATGGACTTAATTATACATTTATATCTCATACTTTACTATACTAAAAATACAGATAGGATTAAGCTCTAGAATGGTCTTAACAGACGGGGCCAGTTAATGTTTCAAATTTTGCACAGGCAGAGGGGTGTGTGAGTCGTCATATGAAGTACTACTATGTCCAAGAGCTTCATGTCTGGCATACCCAAGGCAGCTGCGAGGCCTGGTGGGGGGCTGGGGGCATCCAGTGGGGAAGGGGAAAGTTTTATCAGTCAAAGTGAAGGACTGTCAAAGGTTCTGCAGGACCTATTCTTAGGGCCTTGTCCATCTCATCCCTTCAATCATTTCACCATTCAGAACTGCATACCAGGGACAGCCGTAAAAAGGCAAAAAGCTAAAAGGAAGGACTATTGCACAGGGAGATGACTGAAGAGTTTGAAAACTGCCAGACTGATCCTGTATACTATAATTAATATTTCAGAGTCTATCCTCATTTATTAAGCATTTAACGACTAGACTGCCAGGCTCCCGTACCAGAAAAAGCCAAACCTACTATCCTCATATAATGAAGTGCCAAGTTATCGTGGTCAATTGCCAGATGCAGTTTCAGTGGAAATCAGGATTTTAGGTGGTTAGCCATTTGTCCAGTTAGTAAAAATATCAGGGGGTCGTGGTGGGAGCAAGCACTGTAGTGATAGGACACGCTCACCATTCACCCCAACCCATCGTAGAAGCAGATTCCTACTATTGCGCTGTCCCGACAAAACACTTATTAATCATTCCCCTGCTACCCCCATAATGCTTAGAATTCGAGCCTTCTTAACCCATTCATCAAACTTTGGGGTAGCCATCACAAGGCTATCTGTATCACCTCACTTCTCCCCCATTCCCCTGTTCCAGGGAAGCTGCAGAGCAGTGAATAGCGTAGGAGCTGCAGCTCTCTTCTGTGGGACCAACCTGAGAAACCTGGAAGCACACAAGTCCCTTGAACCCCTTTGATATCTGACCCCAAACCATCTTAAATCCCACCTTCACCTCGGCGTAGGGACTGCAAAGTCCCTGTGGTCGGTTACACAGTCCTCCTGAACAGAGGAGAAATGTCCTAGCAATAGATTTTAGCCCCTCTCTCTGGTATTCTGGCCAAATCCGGGCACCCTTGAGATTTGCAGGAACCAGCATTCTGGTGCATAGATGGCTGAAATATAAAATTCATTTCATACTCATAAGGTCATGTGAACAACACTTGTGCAGATGTGCGTATAGCCCTGCATAGATTTAATGCTTATTATACTACGGGACCGTTGAATGCTTGAATCTGATTGGCTGACGAACGTTCTGAGGTGTGCAATTATTTTCAGGGAAACGCACGGCGAACGTAGTTCCAGGCAGCACTCTTGACC